TTTTATATCTCATATGGGTTAGAAGGTAGGGAAGGGGAACCAAATATCTTTCTGGTATGACAAATGGTGTCCCCTTCCTAAACCTTTAGTTTATTATGCTTACCCTAATGCTGACTCCATTCTTCATGCAAGAGTGTCTGATTTTTGTACTACTGCAGGTAGTTGGAAGGTAGATCAATTATGTAGATATCTTCACCATGATATCATCAAACAAATCACTATTGTTCAACCTCCCAATCCTAACGTTGATAATGATGTTTTATGTTAGAGACCTTCCAATGACGGCAATTTCACTATAAAATCTGCATACAAGACCATTGAAAATCTTCATGACACTTCTAGATCTAAAATTTGGTCTGTGATTTGAAAATGGCCAACATACGAGAAGATTAAAACTTTTCTTTGGAAAGTGGCTTGGGATCATCTTCAACCTAAATTTACCATTCTAATAGTGACAATCCTTGTATTAGGACTTGCCCTTTTGGCTGTAACACTTTGGACTCAACTACTCATATCCTTAGAGATTGTGAGAAATCAAGAGAGGTTTGGAAAAAGTTAATTAAACAATCTAAACTTAACACTTTCTTTTCTCTCCCTTTACAGGATTGGATACTTTGGAATGCAAAGAATGATGCGGGCAAACCTTGTGCTAGGAAGATCTCCTGGCAACGACTTTTCTCCCATGTATGCTAGAACATATGGAAAGAAAGATGTAAAATCATATATTCTGAGGAAGATACTCCTAACAAAGACACTGCATTCACTAGCATTCAAGATATTCTTAGTGATCAACTCCTCCAATCAAAAATCAACTTCTTAACTCAACAGAGTGATAGATCTAAAGTTAAGTGGTTATCTCCTAAAGACGGATGGATCAAACTTGACATAGATGGCTCCACCAATAATCAGGGTGCAACTTCTTGTGGCGGCCTAATTCGAGATGGAAAAGGAAATTAGATTAAAGGCTTCTCCAAATACCTTAGTTACCACACAAGTACGGCGGCAGAGCTTATGGGCATCTTAGAAGGACTTAACATTTGCTAGGTGGAAAAATTTGATAAGGTTAATGTCTACTCTGACTCTACAAAAGCTCTCACACTTATACGCAATGAATTCTCTATAAATCACCCCCTTGCTGCTACTCTCAACAAAATCAGAGATCTTGTTATGAAACACTGGATGGTCACTTTTGATCACGTTTTTAGAGAAGCAAATAAATGTGCGGATTGGTTGGCTCACCAAGCTCCTGTTGAAAGCCCTAGAGTTCATATTTTTGATACTTCGCCTCTTGGTTGTATAAATTTCTTGTATGCTGATATGACACATCATATCACATAACACGGTTTACCTGTGGCCTTTCATTAAAAAAAAAAAAGATAAACCAAGTGCCAAAAGTTTAGCCTAACATTTAGACCACACTTAATGGATTTAAGACATCATGTGCAACACACCATATCAATCACATAACTCATGCAACTCATTTTCAACCCCCAACCACTTGATTCTAAAAACAATAAGAGGTAAATTTTAGTTTGGCAAAGTAATTCATTACAAATCATCCATGTAAACCCCATCATACTTGCACTAATGTTTTTGTCCTATTCAAATTTCAAAAACATACCACATAATCTAAGGCCTAAAATATAACTTTCCCAATAAACTTGCAAATGGTGTAAGTGCCAAACCAAAATATCTAACTAGTTGGCAATATCACATTTAAATACACATATATGAATCAAAATAAAAGAGGCCTATAGTAGAAATTAATATTCCCAAGCATCTAGCGTTTTCCATCTATTCTGTCTTGAGCTAGTGCCTGTCAAATGTTAATGAGAGGGATGATTACAGCCACTTACTCAATAAGATAATTTATTAATGCATATGCATGTCAATCAATCATAGTAAATGCAAAGTGAGCATAAGCTTATATATATAGTGTGTGTGTCTCTATGTGCATGTGTAAAACCATATTCATATTCATCCATAGCACGAGTTATCATAGTTATAAATTTAACAATTGTGTGACTAATAACAATGATATGCATCATCAATGCTTCCTTTATAACCTTTTGATATTTCTAAATAAAATTATGAGTTATTAAATCAAATAAAGACCAACCATGAGGAGTAACTTGACTTATTTGTAATTTTTCTCAAGGTAAAAGGTATACCTTTTATTATAATGTGACTCCACCATTGGTAAATATTTTGAAAGAGATATGTTTTTGTTGTGAGTGGAATCTATACTTTACTCCTATGCTTATCCAACAAAAAGGGCACGATTAAATTATGCTTTGGAGACCCTTTCAAAAGAATTGAAACGTAGTTCTCCCCCCCCCCCCCAACCCAAAAAAAAAAAAAAACAGAGAGAGAACACAAAGAAAAGAGAATGATGATTAATTGATCATGATTGAAGCAGCGTTGAACAAGACGTGTTCCTCATTTTACACGCACACTTCATAGTGTGTAACGCATGCGTATAAAGAAAACGGCCAAGGGCACTTCAACAACTTTATATCTTATATTACCTTCTTTCTTTAGGATTTAGGTGCGTCATTTATTCATATCATATCATAGACGATTTTGGGGCGAAGACAAATTCCACATTTTATTTTTGGCTTTTGACGAAACATGGAAAAGATTTTATAATGGAATTATGAATTTCCTAAACAAAAATGTATCAAGATAAGTCAGCCAGTCAATTTAGCACTAGCAAATTGAAAGTGATAAATATTTACTTCCTATGATCCTATTTATGAAGAATAAAAGTGAATTTTTTTTGTCTCATTTATAACTCATATTATTAAATTTTTTTCTCAAATTTTCTTTTTATCTTCCACTGCATAGTACTGAAAGAAAATACATAATTAAAATAGATATATTTAATAAGAATAAAATTCAAAACTTATTAAATTTTTAAATAAAATTAATAAATTAAAATATTTTTTTATTCCATTAAAACATGGAAAAGTGACTTATGCGTAGAATCATAGCATTACATGTCAAAGGCCTCCAAGTATCAGTATGAAACCCTCCTTCTTTGTATAGGAGGCAATGGATTCTTATATTAGTTATGGGAGAGGATTCTCTCTTATTCCCCTCCCACTCTCTTCTCCTCTTCTTCTACTTCTTCCTTTTATTTTTTATTTTGTTTTCTTTAGAAAAGGAGAGGCCCAATTAGGATATGATATTACTCCTTTCTTTTATAATCATTAAGATTATATTGTGAACGGTGTGGATTTAATCTTTTTATAAAATATATCTTTTTATATTTTTATTATAATTTTAAACTATTTAAATTAAGTTTTAGCATTTTGAATTTGATTATTTATATTTTATTTATTATTTAACATTTTAATAATAATTTTATAACAAAACAAATCCAAATCATTCAAATCTTAATCTAATAATGAAAAAAGAAAAAGAATAGAAAAGGATGAGATGGGAGAGGATAAAATATTTTGGGGTGGGACAGAAAATCTTTTGGCATTTAAATTGATTCCTTAATTTTTTTAAAAAAAGTTAAAATACATAAAATTTTCTTAAACTTTTAAGGTAGTTGTATATGACCTTTCATCATTTTCAATATTTAAAACTAACGCGCCTAACTTTTAATTTTATTTTTTAAAATTTTCTATCATTAATTAGCTGTTAGTTTATTAATATAGTTATTATCATGTCATATTAATACAATATACATAGCACATAACATGAAAAAATATTTTTATTATTTTTAACACAATTTAAGGTGAGTAAAATTTTAATTTTTTACTTTTAACAAACATGATAATACTCTTATTTTTTTTAGTTGAACGACATTTTTCTCACTATTTACAAGTAATACAATTTAAGAAAAAATTATAATTTTATTATAATTTATTAATTAAAATAGCTTTTTATATTAAATAAGTGAAAAGAAAAATATTTAAAAGTTACCATTGATGAGATGATATAAATTTTTTATCTATTTTATTTTTTATGCTCTTATTTATTTGTAGTTGTTATTTTTTTGAATAAAATTTTTGATACTTATTCAAATAAAAAATAATGTTATTAGTAAATTACAAATGGAATGTATGCAACTTTATAATAATATATATATTTTTTGCTATTGATGTTTTGTATTGATTTTATTAAAAAAATTTGTAAAATATCATAGTTTTATTGTATAAAAAAGATAAATTTTTATTTATATAATTCTTATGAATGATAGTTTTGAGATATTTTTCTTTTCATTTGTTGAATAAAAAAATATTGTTTTAATCAATAGAAAATAATAAAATTATACCTTAAATTATATTAACACATGAATAATGAGAATAATACCGCTTAACTAATAAAAATGAGAGCATTGTTATATGTGTTAAAAGTAAAAAATATAATTTTACCCTTACTTAAAATATGTTATGCATTATTAATCTAACATATCAAGAACTATATTAACAAAATAATAATTAATTAATTGTAAAAATTTTTGAAAAAAATTAAAATTTAAGAGAGATAATTTTAAACAGGAGATGGTGATATTTAACTTCCTAAAAATTTAGAAAAAAAATTATGCACTAAAAAAAAAAGGAATTCATGGCATGTCATGTCATGTGTCGCTTGGGAGAGGAGTTTTGCAGCTGACATTAGCCATGGTCAATTTCTACAGACTACAGGCGTCTTCTCTGCTCAATTTGGGGGTATATTCTCAGGGACGAAGCATCTAATATTTATATTTTTGTTCCCTTACGGAGCCTATCTCCTGCATCACGTCCCACGGTAACTCTCTTACTCCTTGCAGATTCACCAATAGAATCATAAGTCTACGAGCGTGACAGTGTGACACAGATTCAAGCGGTCTCACTCGCTTTTCCCATATAACCGACCTCAGAAGGACGGTGAGTGGTCGATGCCAAAAGGTCAGCTGTTCATTTTCTTTTTTCTTTTTTATAAACCGTTCACTTTCTTTGATCAACTCAATCAAAGAGTCTCACGCGGCCGAGCCCTCGAATGACTTGGACTTCAAAACGTCGTCGTAAGGACGTGACCCTCTTTTTTATTTTTTGAGCTTTTTCAAACTTTCACGGCTGGAATGGAGAGGAACAGGCTGAAAAGCTGAGAAACTGAACTGCAGCAGAAGGATGCGAGGAAGGAGACCCTCCTCTGAAGCACGTAAATGCTCGATAAAGACGTCTTGTTTTGTTCTTTGATATTGAAGGCTCGGAATCTTGCGGTTGATTTCTTTGCAGCCTAGAGCGAGACCCATCTCTTCGCCGAAAGTGGTGAAAAGAATTTTAGAGAGAAAGAGGGTAAAGAGGATTACGATATGCAAGCGGATACTAGGGTTGGTGTAGTGGTTGAAGGGGGGAAAAGAGGCATCAATTCAAGTCAAGGAGGTGTTGCCGTCGATGGCGGTGTGAGGAAGCTGGCTTCGCAGCAGCATTCTGACATTGGGACTATTTCTCAGCTTCTTGCTGGGGGCGTTGCCGGCGCTCTTAGCAAGACCTGCACAGCGCCGCTTGCTCGACTCACCATACTCTTTCAGGTTTGTATTTTTCTTTTGCTTTTGTGTTTTGGCTAATGCTACTTGTCCTGGTTTCTATTCCTTCAATTTGACTCTGCTATTCGAATTTTTCCCAAAATAATATTCAATTATCATTTATTTTACTGCTATTGCTACCCTCAAATGAATTGTGTTGTTTCTGTGACATAAACTTTTGATCATATGCATCTCATGGTTCATGGGAGTAATGTCGGTTTGGAGAATAAGTTGAGTTGTTCGTGGCGCTTTTCAATCACCCAGACATTCGGTTCGATTTCGAAAGGAAGCCTTAGGACCATAAGGAAAAACGAGGGAGGCACCCAAAAAATACGCGAGTATTTTTTTTTTTTTTTATTAAGGAGGGGAAGGCCTACCCTCAAAACTTGTTACATTTGATCAGTTCTGCTTGATTTGACATGATTAGTTTATTTCTTTCGCTAAAAAACATTGTAGATGATAAATATTTACTGATATGATCCTTATCTGGCTTATTTCCTGCGTTCTTCAACATGGAGTTTATGTGGCCTATGTATAATATTTTCTGCTTTACTCATGCAATGTCTTCAGGTTCAAGGTATGCACTCCAATGCCGCATCATTGAGAAAAGCCAGCATATGGAATGAGGCTTCGCGAATTATCAACGAAGAGGGATTTAGAGCTTTCTGGAAAGGGAATTTAGTTACTATTGCTCATCGTCTGCCCTATTCTTCTGTCAACTTTTATGCATATGAGCACTACAAGAAGGTTAGTTTCTGATTTGGAGTTTATTTTAAAACATTCTTGTCCTCTGCTTAATTTATATCTAATGGTTATTTCTTTTTTGCAGTTGCTAAAGACGGTTCCAGGACTGCGAAATAATGGGGACAATATGAGTGCAGACCTTTGCATACATTTTGTAGGCGGTGGCCTAGCTGGAATAACTGCGGCAACAGCTACTTATCCTTTGGATCTTGTAAGGACACGCTTAGCTGCTCAGGTAAGATCAAATGTCTCAGATTTGTGCTTTATTTACTCCTGATTTCTCTACTCTCAGTGCCACCTTCTCCCATTCTCTGGATCCATGCCTCTGGCCTTTTAACTTTTTGACGGACTTAAATTGGGTTTAACCACGTGCCTCAGTTGCCTCCTCAGTTGATGTGATTTTGCTCCTTCTGACTAGAACTAGCTGCACAATTAGTCTGTTTGTGTTGTTAGAGCATCAAAGAAAATGATTGGTTAATAAGTTTGGTGGAGCTGTCATGCAAAGTTAGTGGGGACTATTCTTTTTGCATCTCACTTCTTCAATAAATTGATCAATTTGAAATTTTGCAGACAAAAGTTGTCTACTATAGAGGTATTTTGCATGCTTTACGAACTATTAGCAAGGAAGAGGGATTGTTTGGGCTTTATAAGGGACTTGGAGCCACACTGTTGGTATGCTGCTGTTGTCAGATTTCATGTTACTTGAAGTAGAATATTCCTGTTTTTCTGTAATTTACAGAGGCTCTGGTGTAATGCAGGGTGTAGGGCCCAGTATAGCAATTAGCTTCTCCGTATATGAAAGCTTGAGAACATTTTGGCAGTCAAATAGGTGAGAAAATCTCTGATTAATCCAGCAATTTAATTAAGAGTTCACATACAATTTGGCCCCTGAAAAATATTGGTCCTTACACTCAATCCACGGATTTATCCATATATACAAATTAGTTCCTACGTTTCTGACTTGCTAGTTGCTACCTGTGTGTATTACTCTCTCCGTTCCTTTTTATAAGAGACAAATGGAGTATATTTTTGTTCCTAATTATAAGGAACATTGAACCATTGTCTGTATTTATTGCTTATTCCCATTATGCTCCCGTTTAATTATATGGAATGATAGAGTTGATGTCATTAATAAACCACTATGTCAAACATTTAATACGGGCATTTTTGGAAAGAGTTTTAAATTTGTAACATATTTAAGAAGCTTAACTAATTTTAATTATATTCTTTAGACTTAATGATTCAGTCATTTGTTTATCATAAAAAGAATCGGAATGAGTATATTGTCCCTCAAAAGAGGGTAAATATAATTTTGTCCTACAGAGGGACTAATGTGCAATGAATTACAACTTACAAACTCAGGACTAGCTTTTACAAAGGGATAAATTCAAAGACTAAATTGTGAGGATATATATCTTTGAGGGATCTAATTGTGTATTAGTTCCTATTTTAGGCTTCTAACTTTGTCTTATTTATTCTTATCATAGTTTTATTTTTGTTATCTTTGTATATCAGATCCAATGATTCAACTGTTCTCGTCAGTTTAGCATGCGGTAGCCTTTCAGGCATTGCATCATCAACGGGTGAGTGATCTAAAGGGCCACCATGTTTATAAGTTACAGTTCTGTTCCTCTTCATTTAGACTTAATGGTTTTTGCTGCTTCATCCTAGTTCAAGGTGCTGTTACTATTGTCATATGTGGCTTTTTTTTTTTTTTTTTGGGTAAAGTTTTGTATTTTCCTTGCTTTTGATTACAGATAGTCTATTAGCATCTTTTTACATTATTACATTACTCCTTGTGCATCTATATTTTATGTCAGGGCTCAGCTTAGAACTGCTGGGCCAACTGTTTGTTATATGGGCAGTTACACTTAGGATTCCTCTAATTAAATTAAATTTCCTTAACCAAAGGATATTAAAGAAGCTAACTTATGCGGTGGTTCATAATTCTTTTGATGCAGAGAAAGAGGGTTTAGTGCAGTTTTTGTACCAACCGTCTAACCAGACTGACCCCTAGAACCAGAGCCAAGTTCGGAGTTGTTTTTTTTTTTGCCATATGAGAATTTAGTAAGGAAGATAACAAAAGGCTCATTTTCCTATTTTCCGAAGATCTTAATCATCTTCCTTAGTTTAATTCTGTGACGTATCTCCCCAAGCTGGTCAGTAAATTCCATCATCGGGTGGCATTACTCGGATGAACCTTATATTGTGCCCTCGGTCATCAAATGTGAAGGCATGAGAAGTGTCCTCTTTGAGGTATGCTTCTCACTGAGGTTCCCGTCACCTAGTATCCTTTAAAACCCTGTGCATCTGAGATGTTCTTTTATAATATTGACTTGAGTATAATAATAGTCATGGTAATGATAATAGAATATTATAAATGACATATGAATGATGAAATTATCAAACCTTGTGTCAAAAACTGCCACTTCAATCTTCGTCATGGGAGAAGAGCCATATCTGTAACTGATACTTCCTTATAGATGAGATGCTGCTTGTGTGTTTAAACCTGTATCCCATGGACACTGACTAAATGCATATAAAATATTGATGTGTGAAAAGTTCTTATAGCCATTCATCGACTGTGCCAATATTTCAGGTGAGGTTGTGCGTTTTCTTTTGCCTCGTTCGTCTTTAAACTAACCTCACAAGTGATTCGATCATTATTGTTCTAGCTTACTAAAAATGCTTCCATTATAGAATTAAGTTGCTCAACTCTGAACTATTGATATAATTTACTGGGCTTATCCAGAACATGTCAAATATTCTGCTGTCAGAGACGGGACACCGTACCATAAGAATCTCTTATTTTGACTTGCCTTCATGCCTAATGCAGTACATAAATCACCAGATATAGTGCTGTGAAAAAATAGATTGAGAGAAAATAATTTGAGATTAAAGAAAAGAGGAACTGAGTTTGCTGCATTTTTACTCATGTATGTCACTTTATCTTGCTGTTGTATCGCACAACTGTAGAGGATTCAGAGTTTGCATCTAATAGACTATATCTTTGTACAAGATCACTTTGAATAAAATGTATCTGATATTTTCATATGAACCTATATGCAGCAACATTTCCATTGGATCTTGTAAGGCGACGGAAGCAATTGGAGGGGGCGGGTGGGCGGGCCCAAGTATATAATACAGGTCTCCTTGGGATGTTTAGGCACATAATCCGGACAGAAGGCTTGCAGGGCCTATACAGAGGAATCTTGCCTGAATATTACAAGGTTGTTCCTGGCGTAGGTATCTGTTTTATGACTTACGAGACACTAAAGATGCTTCTAGCTGATATTGCCACCCCTTCATAGTCACAAAAAGCTTTTAGACTTTCGAGTTCTTTACCCAGAGAAGAAGGAGTGAAGAGCTATTGCCTTTTTACGAAGCACATTTTATTTCTTGGATCATGGAAGTAAATTGGATTGCTGCTATGGGAGACTAGGGAATACATTTTTACCAATGTATAGGAACAATTTTTTAATTATATATCTTAAATTTTATTACATATTTAATGGGAGTATTAGGCGGTTATCTCCTTCCCCCCAAAAGATATCATTTTTGTATTCTCATGTTCTCTTCCACATGTTTCAGTAAGTTAAGAATTGGACACTCATGTACTGTGGGATTCTTGGTAAACGTTGTATTATCAAAATTTAAGTTAGAGGAAGCCCTAGTTCTAGTTTGCCATGGGCGTGAATCTTTTGTATTCAGCAAACACAATAGAAGGAAGGGGGAAAATATGTTTGTGGGTGCCGGCGTTGTTTCAGTATGAATGCAAGATGGCCACATTGAAGCAAAATATACCTATTGAGTTCGCTGCATGTATCGATAATTTTTATTTTCAAAAATCATTTGTCATAATTAGGAATTGAGTGAAATATATTCCATTAACGTTAATGCACATTATTTAGAATTATAATAAACTTGTATATTTAGTGAAGGATAATCTGGTCGAACCCGAAATAAAACTAAAATATACCACAACCTTTTGCTTTCGGGAAAATTCATATATTAGATTTTAAAAAAATGTAATTTTAACCATAAATAAGATTTATTTAAAGGGCACACCTGAAATGCTGGCCAGAGAGGAGCATACTTGAGATAAGAAACTGAACACCTCAACTTGAATCAAAGGCCAAAATTTAATAATGTAAAGGCTGGAAATGGGAAAGGAAGGGCGCAGAATACATTGGAAAGAAAGGTTTCGAAATGAATCGCCAAAATTCCGAAAGCTAGAACAATTCAAAGACACCAACAAGAAATACTTCAAATTATTATTATTAGCATACTGGAACTTGGCACACCCTCAGTACCCCCATAAAATAGCAGAGGGGAAGCTCTCCTAGCTTCTGTCTTGGAGCTTGAATTAACTCAAGGCCATTCATATCAATCCCAACGTACTCAGTATAAATTCGAATCAAGGAAAATTGAGAAGGCGAAAAGGGAAGAGAATAATGTTCCATTGAAATCAAGCTTGAGAGAAACGATTGAACTGACAATTCTCTTGCCTTTCTTTTTCTTCCATTTTCCTTTATTTTTGTTGTTACAGTGGGAAACTACCAGTCAAACGAATATGATCAAGAGTACGATGTAAACCATATTTGTTCACAGCTTCATTAGCAGCTCTAAATCCACCCCCATACGCTGGAGAAGAATCATTGGCAATTTGATTCATGAAAAATTGACCCAGTTTATTCTCAACTTCAGACTTGGCTCCTTTCTTAGATGATGAGGAGGGGTAGTAGGAAGAGGAGGAGGAGGAGGAGGCTGCTGAAGTTGAAGGCATGCTCTTAAGGCCAGGCATCACCACTGACTCAAGCCACATATAAGACAGAACCTGACAGATTCCTTCCTCTACGTGAGGATTAAGATTACGGTAACCTGCTTAGTTCAACGTGAATAAGGATAATATTAGATGGTCTTGTAAACTTGAATACCAAGAAAGAATGACCTTGGACATTATTCATATTTCATACCTTTAAGGCGTAACCAGCCGTGCATCAACTCGTGGACAAGGATGGCGCCCGTGAGCAACCTGAATCCCACAAAAATATCAGAACAAAAGGATGAATGAAAAGCAGACCCTGGATTAAGGATTTTGAACAAATAAATCTTCTAAACACACGGTATCTCTATTGAAGTTCCATCATCATCATCACCAAGGTGGAATCAATATTGTCTGTTAGGTTGTGCTTGTATAAGACATCAGGGCTTTTTACTCCAATAAACACAAAAAATATCCGGACACAAGATTTCAATTTAATACTCATAATGTAGCAAAATATAAACACAGCCAACTAATATATAAATGAAAGCTGGGAACTATAAACAAATAACTGTGTTTTCGAGAGAGAGAGAAATATTATGCAACATGATAGAGCATGTCTTTTATATTACAATAAAAGCAACCTTTTAGACTTGTACCCCACCCTGTCATTTTTTAGGAGACTTCCAAGTCATTTATGCGACTTTAAGTCTGTTCAACCTTCTGCTACGAGAGGTTTTACGTTCAAAACCCCAAATGTAGACATTCACAATAAAGTAATTTAAAGGGCACTGCTCTAATTCAGGGAGAAGAGAGAGCAAAGTTCTGATGTATTATTACCTTGGAAGACCGTAGAGAACAAGAATGGCTGTAACCTCACATTTTCTAGTCAGCTTTTGAGGCTGGGTTCTCATCCCAAATAGCTGGCGGCCTCCGATTCTTGGCCTCCGATGAATCTAAAACAATATAAAAATTACTAAAATTAGTATAGCTGCCTAATAGGTAACTTGTAACCTTGTTCATAAAGGCTTTTAGATTGCTCAGGATAAATTCAAAGTGGAAATTTCTGAAATCATACACTGGTGACAGTCAGCTCTTCAGAAAGGCACAAGCCTCTTGTCTCTGGCATGTGATGGTAACCCTGGAAAGAAGAAAATTTAGAGTAAGAGAAATGCAACCTTTAAATTGATTAGACTAAAGAATGGATCGTTCCTTACATTTTTATCCCCAACAATAGCTTCATTGAGTGCTTGCCTCTCAACCAGAAGCATAGGAATTTGTTGGTCTATTTTCATAAACATTCCTTCATAATAATCTCTAATATCATGGTAAAGAGGTTGACAATCTCCAGTGTCCATAATAGCTGACTCCATGCACTCTAAACATAAACTCCGCCCATCTTCCAAGCTATAGTATTTTGCATTCAAAGACTTAAAAGATTTAAAAAAAAAAAAAAAACAGAAGATTATGGTTAGCAATTTCTCCTTCCTTTCTTTAAACAACCCGTAATAATAATTATATTTATACATTATAGGGAACCAGTTTGATTAGTACCTCCAATCTTTCACAACTACAGCAGCGAGCTGTATCGTCATATTCATGAGATGGACAATATTTTTGGGACCAAAATGGGTGACACCTATACTCGATCAAACCAGCAGCATTTATAGGAATCTGAAAGTGAAACAACATATGACAGGTGTGAATTTGGCTTATCTTTTACCCTAACGTAAGAATAATTGTTGGATATAATGGTGTTAAGTCGTTAATTTGATTGCCTCCAACAGAGTATGTGCTATCACAAGGCCATGAACTTGTACAGAAAACAGAAATAATTCAGAAAAAGCAGTAGGGTATGAATCAGTGAAAGGAAAACTAATCTTACAAATTGGTAGCAAACTTCACATTTTGGGTGGGTCAACTCTTTGAAACAGGACTTGTGATATGGATGCTTCCCTGATAAAGAAAACTAGTATAGAAAGGAAAGAAAAAGATGCAGTAAGTGATAGACAAAATAGAAGCATCATAAACACACATATGTGAGAAATGAAGAAAATACTATATGCAATGTATCAACGTGTGCTGAAAGGCTAAAAGATGATTTCAACAGTCTGCTAGTCTTGAGAGGATCGAACTACCTCATGCTCAGTAATGGGGTAGCGACAAGAGTGACAGCGAAAGCACCATGGATGAAAATGAGTATCATTGCATGTTAAACAATTCGCATAGTCTACCTCCTGCTTGCACCCACCGCATATTCTGCATTTTAATAGCCAATGCACATGATTAATTGGCGAAGGTACTAAAATCTCTGTTCTTCCCATTGCTTGGATTTAATAATAGACAGGCAGATAGTGAGTATTGATGATTTGGGATGTGAGCCTTTGATTTCTCTTTTCACCTTTCAGGGGCCTTCAGAAATTTAGAGAAAGAAAGTAACTGTATATAAGAGCACATGCTTTCTGATCTTTCTTTTCATTTCTAGAACTTCTGTTTGGTATGCACATCATGAAATACAAAATTTGGAACAGCAATGATTGTACCTAATTTCCCCATATGTTGCACGGCTGTATGGAGGATGTGCAGATGAGTTTTGGTTATCCTGAAATTCACTTGCATAATCTTTATTGATGCCTCCCCCCAATCTATATCCTTGACGAGCTAATGAAAAGTAACATTTAGTCCCAGATAAAAGGATCGTGATTGAAAGTAAGAAAGCAAGAACTTTGAAAATTAAACAACTACCATTTGGTCTCTTCAAATCTTCAGCTAGAGAACGGTCATCCTGATGACATGAGAAGAATTATGCAGGATGTTGTATTCAGTTATCCACCAATCAAACTTGTAAAACAGTAAAAGAAACAATGCAACATGGTCATTGCATATACAATAATGATCTTTTTTTCCTCGTTAACTTGGTGCTGAAGAACCAATGGACCTGGATACTTCGTAATACCCTTGTGCTTCCAGAGGAAGGAGGTATATTAAAGATCATGTTGAATAGTTCACACAAGAAAGATATTCCATTCAACATTGCCACCAAATAACTCAACGATTTTAAATATTTAAGTCATCTTCCGATAGGAAACATGAATGGAATTGTTCTGTTGGCTAAATGAACACCCTCATTGATCACACAAGGAGGTTAAGATTGAGAGAATTACATCGCAGGTTTTCTTTGGCAGAAAGACAATAAAACATCAGATGTTTTATGAAGCTATCAAACATAATGGGAATGCACAATGTGAAGCTACGTTGCCATAGTGCAACAGACCTTCTAGGTATTATACACGTGTGAAATCAATTATTCTGTAAGTAGTAATCAATTGCCACTTAGAAAGAAATCAGTTGGGTATGATGTGTGCGTAGAAATCAAGTATGTTATTGAGTTATAAGCTATAGTCTAAGTCTCAATTACACACCTGATTTCCTAAATTGACTTTTCAGGAGCAAAGTACAAGGGGCCATATAATGAACCAAACAGGGGGGAAAGTCAACTTTCTAGTGCTCATGATATTTTTGTTTGATGACAGATAGTAGAATTAACATAGGTTTGGCTTAGAAGTAGCACCACAAAACGCTGACCCTATGACTAAGTCCTATTAACTTCAAGCAAAGCAGTGATATAATCCATGACAAGGACAACAAAAGAAGAAGCCAGAGCTTATATTTACCAACGATCTAGCCGGATTACGCCAAACCAAATTTTCCTCTGTAGCCTGCCGGAGATGACGACCTCCCCTTCCTCGACTGGACCCACCTTTGAAAAGCTTACTAAACCATTTCATAAAGCCAGACTTCCTCTCGGAGAATGAGGAAGCAAAATCCCCTGTTTCCCATCAAATTTTCAGGGACAAGACACATCAGAAGGAAAGAGATTAATCAAAATAGGAATATAATTCCCAAAATCAACAGAGTAAAATTAATTAAAAAAAAGGACTTCGAACTTCGAACAGAAGCTTCACGAGCTCATTTCCAATAAGCAAAAGCTAACAATACGGGGCTCCAATTTCAATGACAAATACAGACACAGAAAGAAGAAGGAAGGGAGAAGATACCATATATACAAGGGTGAGAGAGATGATTGACTTCTGAAGGAGCCATAACGGCGGCGGAAATATGATGTATAGAATTGGCGAAATGGGAGATCCGAGGGAAGGAAAAGGGAAGGACGAGAACTGAAAATGACAGAGAGAGAGAGACGAACAGGAGATGGAAAACAAGGGGAATTAGACATCGTTAATAGTAGCGGAAAAAGGAAGAGAAAAATAGGGAGGGAGAGGAATCTAAGGGGAAGTGGTAGAGAGAGAGATTCTTGGCTTGGAAAGCAATGAAGAGAAGTAGGGCAAGGGCAGAAAGATGGGGTTCTGGGGAATCTGCTGAAGCGGAGAATATCAGCTAACTGTTGATTGCCGAAAATCGAAGATGGATTGAGAGAGAGAGAAAAGAAAAGCCCGAAAAAGTGCTGTGTTTGCACGCATGGAAGCCGAAGCAGCTCAATATGTATACTTTTACTTTCTCTTCCTTCCTTTTCTGGAATAACAGAACATACTCGTATAGCTTTTGCTTCATCCTTCATGAAGAGTCGTTCCTCTCAGGAAGCGAGGTCAAGCATTTCTAATTTCTGAGATTTTTTCTACCAACCTAACTGCCCAGCTAAAGATTCATGCTCTGCTATAAATTCCCTTCCATTTATCAGTTACAACTTATAACCTTTGTAAGAAATCTCGCTTAACATTTTTTTTCTTAGGATTAGAGTCATTAAAAGATTTGACAGCATGAGCAAATGCAGAAAGAAAACGGAAAGCATGCTCACAATAGGCAAAGTAATCACTTTATACAGCAGCATGGCCCACGTCCCTGTGCAACCTCAAAACAAACCTACTGGTTATTGCATATAAATGATGTCGTTTCGAATCATTTAAAATAATTATATCATTATTAATATAGGTGATACATTATTTCATTTCACTAAACGAGCTTACAAGAGCCAAAAATCCCCATCACAATTAACTTGATAGGTAAATTGAGTTTAAAAGAATAAGGGAATAATATAACAAGCTTAAATCCCTATACCGAAATTTCGGAGCTACAACCTCGCTTATCTTCCTAACAGTATCAAACATACTATTTTACTTCTATTTATATCTATAGGTAAAGAGAAGATTAATTTTAATCTTATTTATAAAATACCTTAATAATTTTTTATATTTATATTTATCTTTCTATCCTTATTAAATTAAATGTTAGAAAAAAAATATTTCTGTCTATCACTACTCGAGGGTAAAGTTGGTTGCAACGGGAGTGACAATAAATACGTGTCAAAATCTCAAAAGTTCATTGATTTATAAAATGGGAGAATTTCACTTAAGACTCCTAGAGTATAGAAATTTACATTTAGGATTCAATATAATTTAAAAACTTTCTACAAGACCTAAGGCTTTAAGTGAAAATATATTTTTATAGATAAAAGGTGCACTTGCCCTCCTCCTTTTTCATGAATACACATCACAATATTCATAAAATTTTAATATAATATATTGTAATGTACAATTGGTTTAGTGAAAATAGTTTAATTTGAAATATACAAGTTGTGTGGGATGAAAAAACAATGAAATATACATAAATGTGTAACATAATGTTCATAAATTCTCAATATAATGTCATGTGATTGACAACAAAATGTCAAAGGGCTAATGTATTTTTTTGTTACTGTTCAAAAAAAAACAATCAGGTGTGATGTCGCGAGGCATGTTAGAGACACGGGGTTTCAAGAGGATGGAAGAATCTAACTTTTAATCAAACGCGAGGATTCTGGACTCCCTTACCACAATTCACCCGCATGTTAGAATGCGAAGTAAAGAATACTAATAGAGATGCAAAAAAACATAGATACATTAAGTAAAGAAAGAGGTGGCAAGCTATGTCGGCCATACAACAAAAAATAAAGACTAAAATTATATGATAAAAATAAAAATAAAATAAAATAAAATAATAGATGCAGAGTTTGAGACTGGTAGTTTGTTGACGCTAGTGATGATGATGATTGAGAGATGGCTCCTCTATTTATAGATAATTATATCTTTGTGGTCGAGCCCCATGATTGCCAGTTTCCTTAAATTTAGGAAGCACTTTCTCTATTATGGTCACTCATCATGCGTGAAGTACGAATAGTCTTGACTTGGTAGCTAAGGCTCATAAATATTTTTTTAATTATTTTAAAGCCAATTAAATTGAGTTGAGCCTGGGCCTTAAAATTCATAATTTAGGTGCAAACAATATCCCCCGCATACAAATTGGCCGAAGCCTTCATAAGCCAATTTTGTATGGATATGTCTTGGAGGACTGGCTCATTCTTGTTCTGATTGATGGTTGATCTAGTACTTTTCTTGAAGGACACCCTTGTGATTAAGGATTAAGGACCATGTGGTCTAGCTTAGAATCAAGTTTCTCAAAGTTTGGGACCTCAAGAGCTGGTTTTGAAATTGTCATTTTAAGTTTTTGAACTTTAAGGACTGGTTCTGTAAAATCTAGCTACTGCAAAGTTCCTGTGGAAAGAACCCTTTGGGAGAGAGTTTTTGTGGAAAGGGCCCTTGCAACGCTCACTTTTATGAATTTGGCCCTTATGGTTGCGGCCCTTGTGGCACTGGCCTCGATAGCGCCAACCCCGATGGCTCCAGCCTTTGTGGTGCTAGCCCCAATGGCTCCAGCACTTGTGGCACAGCCCTGTGATTTAGGCCCCTATGGTGTTGGCCCTGAGGGTTCTGGCCCCTATACTCTGGCCTTTATGGTGCTGGCCCCAATAGCTCCAGCCCTTATGACACTGGCCTTGATGGTGCTAGCCCCGATAGCTTCGGCCTTTGTGGTGCTGGCCCTTGTGATGCTGGTCCCTATGGTTCTAACCCTTGTGACGCTAGCTCCAATAATGTTGGCCCTAATGGTACTGGTCTTGATGGCTTTAGCCTTTGTGGCTTCGACCCTTGTGGTGTTGGCCCCAATGGCTTTGACCCTTATGGCCGAACAGGCCTACTATTGAATTAAACTTACCATTTATCCTTTGAAGGTTGTTATAACGATCCTTGTTGAAGGGCACTTTAGGAGACTACCGCCCGAGTCCATCTATTCTCTGAAGGTACGAGTCAATTGGAGCTTGCTCTTGCGACGGTCTAAACAACATAGCAAATATATTCCTTGGCCTATCCTTCAGAGTTTGCAATAGAGCTCTTTGCCACTCGTTAACTCGTACTTCACGTTCTGCATGTACAACCACGTTATCCGAGTCATAAAACTCAGGTCTATTTAACATATTGATCCTTACATGTCCTAGGCATTCCTTTCACACAGGTCCCACTGGGTGTGCCAAAAATTGTTTGTAAAAAAAAAACAATCAGGAGTGGTGTCGTGAGGCGTGCCAAAGATGCGGGGTCTCAAGAGGATGGAAGAACCTGACTTTTAATCAAACGCGGGGATCCGGGGATATCGGGCTCCCTTACCACAGTTCACTTGGATGTGGGAATGCGAAATGAAGAATATTAATAGAGATGTAGAAAAGCATTGATACATTAAGTAAAGAAAGAGGTGGCGGGTTATGCCGGCAATACAACGGAAAATAAAGACTAAAACTATATGATAAAAATAAAAATAAAATAAAGTAACAGACATAAAGTTTGAGATCGATAGTTTGTTAATGCTAGTGATGATGATGATTAAGAGAGGGTTCCTCTATTTATAAATGCTCCTAGCTTGGTACCCAAGCCCTATGATTGCCAGTTTCTTTGAATTTAGGAAGCACTTTCTCTATCATAGTCACTCATCATGGGTGGAGTGTGGATGTTTTTGACTTAGTGGCTAAGGCTCATAAATATTTTCTTTAATTATTTTAAAGCTAATTAAATTGAACTAAACTTGGGTCTTGAAATTCACAATTTGAGTGCAAATAGTTACTTAAGACTCTTAGACTTGCAGAAAATTTTTATATTATATTGCACCCTAAATGCAAAAATTTGTGCTATCGGGATTCTAAGTGAGATTCTCCCTTATAAAGTAGAGTTTATAAAGTTTTTGATAAAGTTTAAGGAAAATATAATTGAAAATTAGATAATAATAGCTTATAAGATAATTATGATTTTATAATTAATTTTGGCGCACACACACATATATATGTATATAAGTGTTTGGATATTTTTAAGAAATCATTATTTGGAGATTACAATTGATTATTTTAGTATGAAATATGAGTGCTTAGATATTTTTTTTTAAAATATATATAGTTTTGAATTCATAATTAATTTTGACTTATAATAGAGGTATTTAGATATATTTTCACAAAATTATGGCTTTGCCTGATTTTTTTTTATTCTGCTTTTTAATTATACTAAAAATCATTTTTATCTAATCTTAATCCAAACACAAAATAGCATGTTTGATTTTCCATTACAATCAAGTTTTTACAACTTTTATGCTCTTTTTGATACATTGGAAGAGTTAGTTTTTGATAAAAATATAAATAGAAAAGTAGGAGTGGAAAAGGCAGTTGGATGCAAGTGGAGTTTCAAAATATGATCGGTATATTGATAAAAGCGTTGCATGGGTTTTAATTAAAAAAGTTGCTATGACATGAAATTACTGAAATACCCCTTCACAAGAGCGACAAACACGCGAAAACTAATCTCATGTTCATGCATCGTTATGCCGAAACTTCACAGTCCGTGAAGCCACAAGCCAAGAAACACTAATACGACTACGTGTAAACGGGCACCGGATACAATACTGGACGACATGCATGATACGTTGGATACAGATACAAGAATATACATGCATGCATAACATTTCAACATATATATATTATGATATAAGTGCATGTATTTTAAGTCTTAAACAATCATTTCTAAAGTAATATAAAGATATTTGTGGATAATCAATCAAAATGCTAAGTTTTTAAGTAACATAAAAAACATTTGTTGAAAAAATAGTAAAACAAATGCTAAAATATGTGATATGTATCATGAAATATGATATGTATATTTTATCGAGAATACGTACGGATACGTTCACTTTTTAAAAATGTTCCTTAGGCCACAAGCAAATTAATTTAAGGTCGAAGCCATCAAGGTGGAGGGTGAAAGATGAAGATGTTGGTAGAAGGGGGTGGTGGCAAAGAAGGATAGTTAATATATATAAATTATAAAAAATTTAATATTAAATTGGATCATCTAAATTAAAGTTAGACAATAATATTGATGATAAAAAAATTTGTTAAAACTTTTATAATTTATATAAATTTTTATTTTAATAAATATAAAGTAATACTTTAAATATGAACCATCCATATTAAAATTTAAATGATTCAAATCTCATTAAACTAGTGCGTATAAGTGTAATAAGCATGGATGACAAGTTCAAAGGAATCATGGATTGGGTTGAAAAATAAGAAAGACATAGTTGTCAATAAATTAAATTATAATACTCATTTCATTCAAAAATATAAGGCATTTTAACCGAATCTTACTCTTCAATAAAGTAGTTACCTACTTTTAAATTAATTCTATATTTTTATATTTATCTCTATTAAATATCCTATAATAAATATAAAGTCATTCTTTAATAGTGGTACTTTAAAAAAAAGGTAATGATTATACCTTAAAAGGATAAAAATGTCTTATATTTTTAAACATTCAACTTCTTAAAAAAATATTTTATATTTTTAAATGGAGGGAGTAGGTTTAATGGTCATGAAAGTCCCAGTACTTGGAAGCAGT